AGCTTTCCAACCTATGTCTGGCTCCAGCATTATCCAGACGCCTGGGAAGTCCTTCCTGCCGTCTGATCACCGTTTTTCCTGCTGCACTGACCAATCGCCTCTCCCCCTGGTCTCCAACCTAGGGAATGGTTGGATTAGGGGACTCCAGAAATGCACGAGTCCCTAGGTGAGGGTTTGAATTCTCTTCTTTTCCCATGCTCCAGGCTGGGGATGTAGCCTGAGTCTGGGCACACTCTTGGCTTTACCTAAACTGCAGATTACCAAGTCCAGGGCTGAGCTCCAAGGAAGCTCAGAAGGGCTGGACCCCAAGCAGGTCTTGGGGCGAAGCCTTCATCACTTTCCCCTCTGGGGTCAGTTTGGGGACAACACCGTACCTCCGTATTAACCCCTCGGAAGCGCAGCCAAAGACGCGAGCAGAGGACCCTTCTCCGCTTCAGAACCCTTCCCTCACCCCTGAGAGGTGGGAGCTCCTGACACCTGGGTTCGTCCCCGCCTTCCCGACACTTCACAACAATCCTCAGTGTCCCACTCCGTGCAGTGGACCCATGCCTCCTGCGCCTGCGCAGCCTCGCGACCAGCATCTTCTAAGGCTGCAAGGAGCTAAAAATCGCTCCCGCCCACCCACAAGCTGGGCTGGACTTGGGGATCGCGGCGGGGAAGGGGGGGTGCTTTGTAGTGGAGGGGGTAGGATGAAGAGTGAGGAGGCTGTCTAGGTGCCTGTCCAATTAGGGCAGTAGGAAGAATCCTGGTGGCCGGGCAGGTGCATGGAGGGAGCAGGGCGTCCCATGCCTCGCAAAGGGGCTGCTGGGTGGTGAGGGGCGAGGCTGCCGCACAAACATGTTTACTGCTGCAGTGGCGCCGGTGGCCCCGAGGGGCGCGAGCCCTGGGGCGATAACTTTGCTCTGCGCCCCCTCGCCCCCAGCTTGGCCAGGCGCCAGGACGATGACTTCGGCCTCAGCCCTCTCCCCCTGGGGCCGGCCAGGAGCCCCTCAGGCTACCCTCGAGGGGGAGCGCTGGGCTGCACCCCCTACCTCCATCAGCTCCCAGGATCGCCGGGCGGCGCCTGAGGGGCGGGGTCCCCAGCGCGGCGGGACGCGCGGCCACCGGGTTCCCGGCGGGGAGCGTCCCGAGGCCGTGGGAGGGGCGCCCCGGCCCACCCCAGCGCAAGTTCTCCCGCCTCCTGCCCAGCCCCGCCCCAGGGCGCCGACTTCGTCCCCTCCACCCGGGGCCCCGGCTGCCGCGTACCTGCAGCCTCCGGCGGCGGATCAGGCCCGAATCGTCCATGGCGGCAGCGGCAGCGGCGGCGGCTTCGGCCCCGGGGAGGGAGGAGGGAGGAGGAAGGCGCCGGCGGCAGCGGCGGCGGGAGGAGGGAGGAGGGAGGGAGTGCGAAGCCGCGGGGACCGCGGCGGCGGCGGCGGCGGCGGCTGGGGGGGGTTGGCGGGGGCGGAGCGAAGTGGGGCGGGCCCGGCGCCGTCACTGCGTCTGGGCGCCCGAGCCCGGCCTCGGCCACAGCTGCCCGCGCTGGGGGGGAGGGGGCGGGCGGGGGTGGAGCCTCCAGACGCCCCCGTGGGAGCCAAGCTACTGAGAGACCCCTATGAAGAGAGACATTCTCATGACCCCCAACTCCAGAAACACCCCAAGGGAGACATTCTCCCTGAGATATATTCCCTACGCAGACATCCCCCCAGAGACCCCCCTCAAGGAGACACATTCCCAGGGGGAGGCAGTTTCAACAGCTCCAGTCAAGAACCCCCACCCTGAAAATCATTCCCGAGAGAGATGATCTCTGGCAGGTGACATTTACTCTCAAAAGCCCTCCCCCCATGGGAAGAGGCATTCTCGCAGAGAAAGATCCCATGGGGGACATTTCACATGGAGACCCCAGGGAAGATACCTCCAATGAGAGACCCCTAAGAAGCATATTCTCTGTGGGAAATTGTCCCCACCCACGAGACCTCCACATACCAAGAGATGCATTCTTACGGAGTGACATTTTCACTGAGGAGACCCGGCCTTAGAGTCTCCTGAGGGAGATGCGCCCTCGGAAAAACATTTACATGAGTATACATCCATATTACACACACACACACACACACACACACACACACACACACCCTGTCCCCCGCAATCAGAGCCTCCTTAGGGAACCCTGCAGCCCCTCTAGCGACCCCTCCTTCACGGTCAGGATTAAGGAGCGAGGCCAGGCCGGCTGTATTTATAGGAGCGATTAGTTGGTAGTTAAACAGGGGGGCAGTTGAAGCGATTTTCAACCCCCCCCCCTTGCCTCCCAGCGTTTACACAGGTAAGGCCAAACCGACCATGCTTCCCGGCGTTGGAAAGGAGAGTGTCGGAGCCCTCCCCACGCCAAGTCTTGGCACGGGGCGGGGGACAGAGCGCAGAAGGACTTCCCAAGGGTCGCGGCCCGAAGGCCCTGGAGGGAGCGGTCACTGGGCGAGAGCGACCCCTGCTGGTCGACGGGGACGGCAGAGACCGCTGGGTCTGAGTTTTCCCTGAGAGCTTGTCGCCGCATCGCTGCACCTTTGCGAGTCATCTTTGTCTGTGTCTCTCTATACACGTTTGTCTGCATGTTGGTGTTGCCATCTCGCTCAGTGCGTTGCTCGAAAATACTCGCGGTCCATGGTCGGACTCTGCTCGCGTAGACCGGTCTCACGTCGACTCCGCGGGAGCTCTCCGTGGTGCTGGTCTCGCGCGCTCCTGTCCGCGGTGCTGAAATCCAAACGCAGGGTTGGGGGCTGAGGTCAGGGGAGAGGATGGGGTGTGGAGGGTTTGGAGGGAGGTATAGGCCAGAGGTTGAACTGATCTGACCCACAAACACTCTGGACCACCTCAAGATGGACCAGGGGAAGGCTAGGTCCAACAGGTTTTGTTTGCTGTCACTGCCAGGACATCACTGGGTACCCACAGAGGGACCCAGAGACATATCTACTGATTCATTCACTTACTCACCACTTATTGAGGAACTATGGTGTGCAGTGTAGTGTTTTGGGATCTTGTAGCACACCAGAGAAAGAAACAGACAGAAACCCTGCCTTACCCTGAGATGGGAGGGAGACAGATTTGTGATGCTGGCCACTGCTCACAAAACCACACATGCACACTGTACTAGCACAGCCACGTGCACACCCTGCAAACACATGAACACAGACACACAAACACATACTCAGCAAACAGACACACAATCACATACTCAAACACACTCTGCACACACATACTCCCCAAACATGGACCCACACATTCTGCAAATTCACACACATACAAACACATACTCAACACAGACTTGCCCAAAAGCTTATGTACACATTTGCAAATACTCAGCAAACACAGACACACACAAACACACATATACATAAACTCACGCTCTGCAAACACACAAGCTCATACTTAGGAAACACATACATACAGTCATCAAATGTAAACACTCACAAACACATACACTCAACTAACCTAAGCACACCCACATAGTTCCAAAACCAAGGGATGCCTAGTTGTACACAAATTCTCACCCAATACACATACACATTATTCTCTCAACACAACGCATGGACTCACACTCACATACACACTGCAGGAATGTTTTTCACATCTGATTCTCTCCCTAGAATGTCAGCTGTTTGAAGGCTGAGATTCCCAGGTCTTGTTCACCACTGCATCCCTAGAACCTAGCACACAGTAGGTGCTCAATAAATGTTTATTGAATGAATGGACGAATCAAGGGAATGTTCACAAGGGATACAGTCACAGAAAATGCGAAATGACACAGAAGCGTACACATGCACACACACACACACACACTCTGTTCAGCACATGACAACACCCCTTGTTCACTCATGGTCAACTCATAGTCAACTATCTTTAATCACTGACTTCCTCATTGCATTTTCTCAGGGATACCTGCCCAGATCGTATATCCCCCCTCCCACAGTTTTATGACTCTTAGTTTTACTCAATTGCACACATGTAGCGTGGGACACATATAAGTCTCCTTATCCAGATGTGAACACGCACATAAACACACACAACCGACCGAGAGCACATGAACATACCCCCAGACAACACATACACATAGCCACAAAAACAAGACACACAGGTGCACCTAACACACACAGGCCACACAAACACACCCTCGTATGTGTACACACACACACACACACACACCCCACACATATAGACACAGAGCTAAAGCCACAAGCTCAACAAACACAAGAGCAAGAACATGGATATATACATAACAGCCCCACGTCCACCAGCCTTTGGTCAGCAGGAGTGTGGGCGGGATGGTGGGAAGTCCCGCCCCTACATCAAACCACGCCCCTTTCAGCTGCCACCTTATCCTGAACTTGATCCTGAGGAGTCTCTACAGCCCCTAGACCCCAGTTCAGCTAACAGGTGAGGGGCGGGGGGCAGGTGGGAAGCAGATAGTTTTGTCTCCGCAGACCCCAAGCTTCCCCTGCCCTGGGGCTTTTGGACCCCAGTGACAGAACCTGAGTCCTACCGTACCAAGCTTGGTCCCACAAGCCCAGCTCTGGGTGGCAGTCCCTAAGCCGATTGTGGGCCGAGAGAAGGTGACCGTGAGAGGGGCCAGCAGGGATCGTGAGGGAGGGAGGAATTACTGCACAAGAGAGGGGGATTGGAAGAGCCCGGGCAGTCCCCTTGGTTCTGAGGAAAGAAGTCCCTTGAAGGCTAACAAGGTGGGAGATCCTGCTCGATGGGCGAGGGGAGGGCCACCATGGTCTAAGCTAGGGGGCTGGCACCTGAGCCTGAAGGGATGGAGGGACATGGGTCTGATAGGAGGAGGGCTCCTGGGTCAGAGGCAGCCCTGTTGGCCCCCTGGGATTTGAAAGTCCTTGGCTATTGCTGCCCCACCCCTACTCTGTCTGGCACTGCTTGGGGATGCATCAGGAAGGTGTCACCCTGAGCTCTCAGAAAGGGACAGCTGAACCTCACCACCACACTCCAGCTGGCTCTTATCTCAGGTGGACATGGCCTGCCGGGACCACCTTCAACCCAATGGCTTGGCTTGGGCCTTGCAACTGACCATGGCATGGATCCTACTGGAGGTCTGTGCAGGAAGCCACCCACTCCATGCTAGGTCCCGGGGACACCATGGGCTGGAAGCTGATCTGGGCACAAGCCAGCTGCACCTGGCAGGTGAGCACCCCAGACCCTGTCTAACCCCCAAGACACAGGAACCCCCGCCCCCCAACAGCAATGCCAGAAATTCCTTATGAGAGGGGATTAGTGTGGCCACCAAGGTAGGCAGTCAGGGCTAGTGCTCAAGAATGGTTTACAGTCAGACTGCCTGGGTTCGAATCCCAACTCTGCCACTTCGTAGTTGGGTGACTCTGGGCAAGTCACTTAACCTCTCTGGAACTCATGCGGGCCACTGAAAAGGGAAGATATAACAGATATAACTCATAGAGGTAGAAAGATTAAGCATATGAATGCTTACACCACTACCAGGCACATGACAAATAATAAGCTGATTATTATAAATGATATACGATTATTATTAATTAAAGATGTATTTGCATCTCAAGTGAATGTCTTTACTTAAATTTTATATTTGGGAGGATGGATGTAACCGGAATCTCCCTTGTTCAGGGGACCCCCAGGCCTCGGTTCCCAAATTGTACCTGAGGATCCAAGACCCCGGCTCACAGGAGTCCCCTTTGCCAGGATCTTGTTGTCCTTCAGAAATGGACACGCCAGAGACCCCAGGCCCTGGGATCTTTCCAGAGCGCTGTGGGGCTTCGAGCCCCGGGTGAGTACAGCACCCCCCAGGGTTTTGTGGGTACTTTGCCCCAGTTGTGGATCCTGACCCATCCGGCCCTGTCTCTCCCAATGTCCAGGTGTGAATCCTTCCTGGGACACCTCCAACTTGCCCTCCGCAGTCGCTTCCGTCTGCTGCTATTGGGGGTTCGCCAGGCGCAGCCGCTGTGCGCGGAGCTCTGCCAGGCCTGGTAGGAGAGGCGGGGCAGAGGGGCGGGGCCTATTCTTTGGGCGGGACTGAAGGCGGGGCCTGTGGCTTTGCTTAGCCTTATGTGTGAAGGGGCGTGGCCTCCAACAGGGCCTCATCTAAGGGAGGAGGCCTAGCATTTAAAGGCCAGGCAGAAAGGGGCGGGACCTGTTGAGACCTCAGCTTTTAAGATCTCAGTATAGGGGTGTGGCCTTTCATGGTCCGGGTTTTTAAAGGGGCGGGGTCTTTCATTGAAAAAGAGAAGCCAACAGGGTGAGAAAATGTAAGGGGCTGGCCTGGAACAGATGGTCTGAGGTCTGCAGGGGTGAGGCCAGTTGTGATGACACCACCCAGAGTATAGCTGGAAAGATCTGATGGCATATGGAGCAGGTCAAATCTGGAGGGGCGGGGTTTGCAGGCGAGTGGTCCTAAGAGGCGGGGTCTCAACCTAAGGGCAGGATTTATATGGAACCGACCTTGTAGAGCCAGAGTCCTACTAGAACGCGGCTGCAGAGCCTTAACTCACCTCTCCACACACCATCCCCAGGTTTGCCGCCTGCGAAAATGATGTCACCTGCGGCCCGACTTGGCTCCCGATCCCAGAAAAAAGAAGCTGTGAACCCAGCTGCCGTACCTATGGGCAGGTGAGTGTGGGGCAGAGGGAGAGAGAGTCCGGACTGGCTCTCCCAAAGTCCCTGCTCTCACTTTTTCCCCTTCCGCAGTCCAACCTCCATACCAAAATATGCCCACGTGGCCTCCCAAAGGCCCACTGAGCCCAGATTTGCCCTTCTCTGCTCTGGGCCCGTCCACAGTTCACCCTGCAGGACCCAAAGGCCCAGCTATCTTCTTCAAGGCACTAGCCTTGTTCTGGCCTTCCTCCGCACCGTCCCCCTCTCCCGTTTAGTCCCCTGGGATCAAGTAAGAACAGGCGCCCTCCCCAAGGCCCTGTCCCCATCCTCAGAGGAACTCTCAGACCCTCCCTTCCGGAGGCCACGCCCCCGGCCAGAAGGCCCGTCCCCAGTGTATGTGACTGCGCCGGCTCCACCCCTAACTCCGCCCCTTTCCTAGACCTTCACTGACGGGGCGAACCTTTGTCGCTCGGTTCTGGACCACACCCTACCAGTGGCCGGTCCTGGCACCCGTCACTGCCTCAACATTTCCACCTCGGCCCTGCCGCGTCCCAGACGCCGACGGCGGGCCCAGGAAACTACCTCCCGGCGCTCCCGGCGTTCTCCCACTTCAATCCTGGACGCGGCGGGCAGCGGGAGCGGCAGTGGAAGCGGCAGCGGCCCCTAGCGGACGTCTACGGGAGACGCAGCCCTCCCCAGCCCCGCCCCTCGAGGCACCCGGAGCCCCACCCCTATCCCTCTCTGCTTGCTAGTTTCCAGAATCCGGTTCCTCCTCCCTGGGGCTCCACACACTCGCCCCTCTCCGGGTTATCAGAGATACGATCCAACTCTCGCTCATTTTTTCCTCCCCCCCTTGAATAAAGTCGCCAGCTAAGAGCACGTGATGCTGCTTCTTGGGGAATGGGTGAGAAGGAAAATTGCAAGAAAGTGACAACGGGTGTCTCACTTCCAATCCTCAGGTCTTAGCGTTAGCGACCGATTCATACTAAAGTGTACATGACGGATGGCCCATACCACCCTGGACCAGTCATCATAACTCAGAATACCCAGGTGTCAGAAATGGGGGGAGTGTCAGAAGAGGGGCTGGGGAGGGTGTGAGGTGTGCCCTCCTACTGTGCGCCACCAGGCCTGCCAAGAAGCTGCCTGACTTGTATAGACTTCAAGACACATTCACGGCTTTCCCTTCTGAGTAAGCAGGCCCAAAGACGTCCGACATAAGGTACCCCCTTCCTTCCTTCCTCCCTCTCTTCCTCTTCTCCCATATTCCACTCCAAGACCTAACACAAAGAACCGGACTCAGATTCAGGGCTTGCTATACACACTGCTCTTAGTCCTTCTTCTATCCACAGGCCCCAGGAGAGTCTCAGTTTCCCCACCTGTACAACAGAACCAATGTCCTTTTCAGTTCTGTTCAACAGAGCGAGGTTAATGGATGCCTCCTGTGTCTCAGGCACGACATGGAGACAAAGAGATCAGGCCCATTCTCTGTCCTCAGGGAAGATGGAACTGCATAAGAAGTGGTGCACTGGGGGAGTCAGTCTTCTCTCAGCTGCCACAGAAAAACCCAGTTCAAAGTGCCTTAAGCCAAAACAGTGACCAAGCTTCAGGAATGGGTGTATCTAGGTGCTTATATGATGTTAGAAATCTATCTATCTTTTTATTGCTATACTCTGGGACAGTATCTCCCCACAGTAGCAAAGATAGACTAGTAAATCTATGATTCCAGTAATTAAAATGTCCCTATTTACCCAAAAAGGCAGCAAAGGTTCCAGGCTGGCTTGGTGGGATTCCCTTACCCCCACCCCAGGAAAGTTAGGTGTTGGAACCAGCAGAGGGGTAGGAGTACCAGGCAGGGAATCAAAGATAAACAGAGATGTGGCCTGGCATGGTGGCTCATGCTTGTAATCCTGGCACTCTGGGAGGCTGAGTCTCACTCACTCTGTCTCCCTGGGTAGAGTGCAGTGGCGTCATCATAGCTCACTGCAACCTGAAACTCCTGGGCTCAAGTGATCCCCCTGCCTCAACCTCCCGAGTAGCCAGGACTACAGGCACGTGCCACCAGGCGTGGCTAATTTTTCTATTTTTATTAGAGACAAGGTCTCGCTCTTGCTCAGGCTGGTCTTGAACTCCCGAGCTTAAGCAATCCTCCCACCTCAGCCTCCCAGTGTGCTAGGATGACAGGCATGAGCCACCGCGCCCAGCTGGCACTAGTTGTTACCTTGAACTTCAGCTAGGGCTATTGGCCAGAATGGCTAATGTGGCTTCTCCTTGTGGCCTGGGCTTCCTCACAGTATAGCAGCTGGCTTCTAAAGGAAGTGTCCTAAGACAGTAAGTCAGGTTTAAGTTCTCTCACCTTTGACGACCTAACCTTGGAAGTCACAGTGTCACATCTCTGCTTTCTATGCACTACAATGAGTCACCAAAGCCAGCTCACATTCAAGGGGAGGCATCGTAGACTCCTCTTCATGGGAGGGATGTCAAATAAAATGCTTAGAAAGTGTGGCACATCATTAACACTCGATACACGTAGACACCACCTATTGTCTGTTGTGGATAATGTTACGTTGTGTTATTGATGTTATAGACTGTGTTATTGTGACAAGGAGAAGCAGTCAAGGAAGAAAAGTGAGGCAAGTATTTGAAGGATCTCCCGACAGATGATCAAGTTGTGGCCAAGGAGAGATTTCATGTTCGGGGAACTCCAAGCTGCCCAGCAAGCCTGGGGTGGAGCTTGGGAAATGGGGTCTGATCAGGGAAGACCTTGGACGCCAGGTCAAGGCACCTGAACTTGGGGATAAGAAGTGCGGGAGCCATGGAGGGATTTAAGCAGGGAAAGATCCATCCCCCTGACACTATTGCCTGCCTCTTGGAGACAGGACTTGGAAAGCAAGATTGGAGGTGAGGTGCTCCCAGGAGACAGGAACCAGCAGGTGGGCAGAGAGGAATGAATTAGAGGCGTTTAGAGGAATGGCCCCTCTTCAGGGCTGTTCTGAGAGCAGAAGTGAACATTTGAAACCCTCAATAAGCGGGTTTTATTTATTTTAGAAATGGAGTCTCCCTCTGTTGCCCAGGCTGGAGTGCAGTGGTGCAATCACAGCTCACTGCAGCCTCGAACTCCTGGGCTCAAGCGATCCTCCTGCCTCAGCCTCCGAAGTAGTTGGGACTACACTCTTGTGCCACCATATCTGGCTAATGTTTAAAAATTTTTTGTAGAAGACAGGGTGAGGGTCTATCCTGTCCAGCTGGTCTTGAACTCCCGGCCTCAACAGATCTCCCGCCTAATATGTCATATAAATATGTCACATATTTCAAAAATCAAACCAAATCAAATCACTTAACCAATGCCCACTCTGTTTAGGTTCCACAAGGCAGTAGCTGGGTCCAGGTGCAAAGCTCGCTCCCACCCCACCTCTGCCCCGAAGCACAGCCTCTACTTTTGGCTCTCCTTAAACACCTTTAATCACCTGCAGGGGAGGCAGGTAGAGGGAGTACAGGCTGGCTCCTAGAGGGTGGTGGCTGGCTCCAGGCCACGCTCCAGGAAGTATCGGTGGGGGGCACGGGGGCGGGTTCGGGGGCCTTCGCTGAGGAAGTAGGAGGTGATCCTCCCAGTGCCCTCCTGATCCCCTGCTGAGGAGTCCTCCCTGTGGGAGAGAGCTGGCGACACTGACCACTTCCAGGGGGAGCAGCCCTTCCAGGCAGGGATGAGCCCTGGCCTCCCTCCCTCCACACAGCACCCTCGGGACACCTACCACGTAACATCTTCTGCCTCCTTCTCCAGGATGGCCTGGGCCGTGCGCCAACTGAACCGGACAAACTGCGGGAAGCCGAAGACAGGTTCCACGTGTTTCCTCAACCATGATTTCGTCTTGGGATCTGGGGTGGGGTGGGCAATGGTGACAGCCCCTGAGCCATGCCATAATGCCCAAGCTCCTCACCACACTTGTCTAAGGGCTTCTCCTGAGTACTCAAGACACCTCCCACTGTCTAAGGCACCTTCCTGCCCCAGGACCTTTGCACAGGCAGGTCACGGCCACTCTTCACCTGGCTAAGAGTTGCTCAAGGTGCAGTTTAGGAGACTGCCTCTGAGCTGAGGCCACCAGACATGAGTGAGTGCCTTTCATTCCTCCCCGCTTCCTCTTTACAAATGGACAGATGCCCACCTTGGCTTTCAGTCCCTTGCTGTGACCAAAACAAGTTAGAAAACCTCAGAAGTGAGCTAAGCCCTGGCCACATCAATTTATTGCCACGGTCTCTGTCTCAGGGCAGCTCCAGAGGCAGGCGGGACTGCCCGCTGCTCACCGTTGGGGTAGCCTGAGCCATAATCCGCATCGAAGTCCTGCAGTGTTTCCACGAACTGCCAGTTCCTCACGGCCTGGTCTCGGGCCACCTGTGGGCAGGATGGGCACTTGGAGTCTCCCGCCTCAGTGGCAGCCATGTCTGTTCCCTGCCCAGGGGGACGCAGGGAGCTGGCTGTGGCCAGGGGGAAGAGGGGGCTGACCTTCGCACAGATGCTGGCGGCACTGACCACGGGGTAGAGGGCGTCTGCCTTGGCCTTGACTGTCACCTTGATTCCAGGAAAGCGCAGCTGCAGCCGCTCCTGGTATGTTTCTGGCATCCCCACGGTGTCCACAAACACCTGCCACAGGGACAAACATTCGTTCAACAAACATGTAGAAAAACAACTGTGCCAATGTCTGGCCTCACAGGCTTGGCACTTGCTACCTGGAATGCTCTTCTCACAGCTCAGGCCCAGGCTGGATCCTTCTAGCAAAGGTCTCAGCTCAAATGTCATCTCCCACAGAGGCTTTCCCTGGTCATGCCGCATCCATTCTACACTTACTGAGCACCTCCTGCATGCTGGATGCCATTCTAGGTGCCGAGGACAAGACAGCAAATGCACTAGACAAAAATGCCTGCCTTTGGGAGTGGAGTGGAAACCTTGGTGAGGTCACAGCCAAGAACGAGGATAAGAAAGAATAGGGTACAATTGGGAGGGGTTCTAATTTTATTTCATTTTATTTATTTATATTAAGAGACAGGGTCTCTGTCACCCAGGCTGGAGTGCAGTGCTGTGATCATAGCTCACTGCAGCCTCGAAGTCCTGGGCTGAAGCGATCCTTCCACGTCAGTCTCCTGAGTAGCTGGGACTATAGATGTGAGCCAGTGCCTGGCTACTAATTTTAGACAGTGCTGAGGAAGGTTCGGGGAAGGTCTCTCTGAGGTGGTGACATTTGAATAAAAGCTTGAAGGAGGTGAGGAAATGGACCATATGGAGGAGAGCTGGGATAGGGTGCTCCATGCAGGGGGAACGGCTAGTGCAAAGCCCCTGAGTGGGGACCACATTGACGATGCTGGACAGAAGTACAAAGGCCCAAGGCTGGAGCAGAGAAATGAGGTCAAGGAACTGCTGGGGGCAAGTGGTGTCTCTACAAGTTATTGTTTTCAGAAATCACCTTTTTGTTTACCAGCAAGGTGGGGGCCCTTGTCTGTCTGCTCCAGTTACCATGTCACCAATTCTATATTCCAAGCCTGGGCCTCAGCCACCTCCTCGACAAGGCCTCCCCTGCTGCGATCCTATCTCGTTTATGTCCCCTCTTCTCTCAATACATCCTGTTCTTGGCCTCTGAGCACTAGATGCAACACCAATTTATGTTTTCCTCTGGTAATTTAATCTCATTCTCACCCATTTGACTGTGAATCGTCCCAATTTAATTTCCACTGTGAAAATATGCCGTGATTGGAAAATTAAATGTCAAGATTTACATTTCAAAAAGAGGACTGTCTGCTGCTGAGTGCGGAGCAGATTGAGGGGAGGGGACTGGAGGTGGGGGACAAGACAGGAAGCTGAACAGGCATCCAGGGAGGGGCAGGAGGGTGCCCTGGGCTAGGACAGAGGCTGTGGTTAGGTGGACAGATGAGAGATTTTTTCAGGACCCTGAGCCTTTAGGATAAGGAGAGAGATTAGAGGGAGATGGGGTGGGGGGCTCCATAGTCCTGGGTGGGCCTCACATTCAGGACAGGAACAGGAGTAGGAAATCAACAGCAGCAATGAATATGTCTGAGGCACTTGAGAGGTATCTGAGTCCGAATCTGCTCACTACGTTTTTTGGCCATTTTATCCTGAGGTGATCAAATGGGGCCAACCCAACAGTTAGCTCACCTGGGAGATTTTCACGCCTTGGTCCAATGCATACTGTATCAGTCCAGTGGCTGTATCATGAGACAGGGAGTTCAGGTTGTATTTGACCCTGTGGTGGGGAACAAAGCCCAGTTAACCCCATTCTAAGCACAGAGCCTGACCAGCCCATGCTGGCTGCCCCTCCCCCCAGCCCTTTCAGGGACCCCCTCACCGCCCAAGCATGCTGGTAGAGATGAGGTTTGGAGACAGCACGTCCAGTGCCCAGCCCACAAAGTCCCCGTCCTCCTCCATTTTCGCAAAGAGCCTGTCCCGCTCGCTCTCCGACAGGGTCTTTGAGTCTGGGAGGAGGGTTGGGAGAGAAGGGGTGCAGCTAGTTCTCCCAACTCCTGCCCTGGCCCCTCCAGTTCTCACTGCCCATGCACATGCCCAGGAACCCCTTGCCCAGACGTACACCCCGGGCTCACCTGCCACTTTCAAGGCCTCCAGATCTGCTAGGCGGGACAGGGGGCAGTAACAGATGGCGTAGACCATTGGTCCTGGAGAGAAGGGGTGTCAAATTTCCGGGGGTGGGGGTTTAACCGGTAAGCTCATAAAAGCTGCCTTCCCTGATGCATGGCCATCACCACTAACACCCCCCTCCCCGGGTCCGGTGCAATCCTGCCTCTGGCACCAGTGCAACTTGCCATCCACCTTACCATGCCCCACCCGCTCCCCGGCCCGGGGACACACCCAGCACTGGGCCCCGGCCCGCTTCATCGACGCCCAGGACGCAAGGCTTCTTGCGGCACACCGCGGGCACAGGGGAGCTCAGGCGACACCGGCCTGTATTGTCTCTCTCCAGCTCGCTGAGATCCATGGCACCTCCGCCGCCGCCACCAGCTGCAGGAACAAGGGCCGCAGGAGCAGGTTCCCGGGCGCGTTTTCCGCGGGCCCTGCGGCGGCGCCCGTTCCCAACCAATCAGCGGGCAGGACACGCCCCCGACGCTCCCACCGCCCTTGTCGTTGGCGCAGCCGATGCCGACGCTGCTGCCGCGCGTGCTCCTGGGACTTGTAGTCTGCGAGGGCTGCCGCCGAAGGCTGCCTCTGCGGAACCGGGTGGGCGGGGTCGTTCTGCAAGCTCCACCCCGGGGCCTCAGGGGCCCCGCCCGTTGAGGCTGGGGGGAAGAGAGGAAATTAAGCGGGAAACTGAGGCTTAGCCTCAAAGATCCAGCTCTAGGGGGAGCCTAGAAGGTCAAATATCACTACACTCCCAGAACACTGGTTTCCGCATCACTGGGTCCCCGTTCGCCACCTGGATTTCAGGCCCTTTACTCGCAGTCCCTGCCCCTCCACACATTCCGAGCCCCCTGGACTAGGTATCCCCGCTTCCACTGGGCTCAGGCCCCCAACTACCTCCTCTGGTCGCTCCCTCGGACCCCCCAGCCCCACCAGTATCACTGCTTCCTACCCTCTCTCTCATTTAGGTCAAGCCTCCCCAACCCCCAGTGGTCTTCACCCACCACGCAGCTCATTCCTGTCATCTCAGGTTTCATGTCCCCATCCCCACCCCTACACCCTTCTCCCCACTGTCCCCTATCTTGCCGATGCTCACGCCTCCTAGGCCCTTCCACTACTCTGACAGCACCTCTCCTATTCCCTGGATTCAGACGGGCTCAAGTTTTCTGTCTTTGGGTTCCAGCCCCTCACCAGACTCATGCACCCTCCCTCAGAGTCCCAGTTCGTCTATCTCTATTTCCCCCTCCCTCGCCCCTCCTTTTCTTCCTTTATCCCCAGATATCAGAGGGGCTCACGTCCCCTGACTCAGTTTCCCCCCCAACACCAGTCTCAACTCCTAGACTTAGAGCCCGGGTTCTCCCTTTCCCATACTCACCTCATACCCAGCCCCACCCCTTGGCCTCCGATGTCCCAGCATGCCCTGGCCCCGCATACTCTGTACCCTCTCTCACCTGGGCTCAGAGCCTCCAGTCGCAGTCGATTGGCTTGCAGGATGGACAATCTCGTTGCCGACAGGGCCGTTTCTGGACCAGGTTCTCGTGGTCCATGAACACTGGGCCCGGCGCTGTGCCCAGCACCTCGCGGCTGCGCTCCTGCTTGCCCAGGTGGCAGAGACAGCGCCACTTTCCCCAAGGGCCAAGGATGGAGTCCTCCACCTCTAGAAACAGAGGGCCTAGATGAAGATCCACGTGGAGGGGACCCTACCTTCCATCTCTTCCTCTAACGGAGGGGAAAAAACAAAGTTACTAACAAATAACCGCAGCTCATATTGGCTGAACTTCGCCTCTGTGCCAATCACACCACCATAAATTATCCCATTTAATCTCTCCCTTAGTCTCAGGTGGGGAAACAGATCTAGAGAAAGCAAGCCACCCTTCCACGATCACACATCTGGTGCGTGGCCCAGAGGGACTACAAACTGACACTTCTAATCTATGCCAGCCTGCCCCGTTGGGAGTGGGGTACAACACCCTTGGTGCCCGCCATCTGAAGTAGTCTCCTGTTTTCAGGGGCGTGGTCATGGGCCTAAGCAGTCGGCACAGTGCCATCTGACCTGCAGGGCCGTCAGGTGGTAAATTAAATGACATCATTAACATAATGAAGGTACTTAAATCCCCTGGTGCTGTGTGGGCATGTAGAACAAAAGCAATTATTAGGATCACTTTTAAAGCAGCTACAACTTATTAAGTGCTTATTGGAGGCCCTTTCCAGCGCTCTATTGAATCTCTCCTATTTCCCTGTGGGACAAGTCTTGTCCTAACTCCGTGGTCCTCATAAAGCCCTGACACCTGACACCCTACTTCCTCAGGTGTCCGCCATACCTCACTGACTTTATTCCATTCCTCCGTCAAGGCTTTTGGCCTTGGCACTTGCTGTTCCCTCTCCCTGGGACACTGTTTCCCTAGATCTTTTCATCTGGGCATTTTGCTTGTCATTCCTGCTGCACCGGTTACCTAATCTTCTTCGGCCTGGCCTCTCTCCCACTTTGCAAGCTCACCCGTCCCCTTCTTGCTGTCTCTGTCCTTCCTAGCACCCGTCCATGAGTTTATGGATGTGTCCCCTTCCCTTCCGTTCATTGCGGGCCCACGCCCCCTCTTCCCCTGTGAGCAGCTTAAAGGCAGAGTCTTTTTCAATTTATAGATGAGTAATAAATTGAGCCTAAGAGAAAAGTAACCAGCCCAAGGGGATGCCGCCCAGTGCGGAGCTGGGCGGAGATTTGAAGTCTCCCTAGAGGAGGATCTGTTTCCAGCCTGCAGGAGAAGTAGGGCACCGAGGCACCTTCCAGCACCATCCCCGCCACTTGCGGTTACCCTTTTGATGCTGCTGCCCCAGCTGCTCCCAGGTGTCACCTTCGCCCCGCTGGCCGAAGTACTGGTAGTCCGTGGAGACCTGGGCAGGGGTCGCCAGCAGCAGGAGCAGCAGAGGCAGCAGCAGCCCCGCCGCCTGGCTCTGGGCCATGCCCGACTCCAACCGCCCCCAACGCGCTCCAGGGCAAAGTCGCGCGGGGAGTCTGTGGCGCCCGCGCAGCACCCCCGGGCCGGTGCAGTGGTCGCGGCCCACAGCTGTGCGTCTCCCCCCGCCGCCCGCAGACGCATGGACCCGGCCGCTCCATTTCCCCTCCCCCCCGCGCCCTGCGCGTCTTGGTTCGGGCCGCGCATAAAAGCCTGGGCGGCCCAGGACGCACTTGCCGCTGAGAACGCGGGTCCACGCGTCTGGTCGTCTGTGCGTCAGGCCTTTACCCACGCAGGTATGGACACCCCCAGTACACTTGGCTGGGGGGACCTCCTTTCGAGCAGTTCCAGCCCCATCTTGACCTCATCGCTGGCCGCCTTTGTTTTCCATCCGCCGTAGTGGCCTCCTTTGTCCTTGAGGGAGAAACCGAGGCCAGGGCCGTGGCGCACAGGCCGGATCGCCCTGCTCCCCGCCCCCTTCTCGCAGGGGCCCTTGCTCTCTCCTTCGGGACTGGGGGCTTGCGCCACCACGCTCCGGCTGACTCACTAATGGGATGCTGGTGGCAGCGGCTGGGTCATTTGTGCTCCGCGCAGGAGGGCGGGCCTCTGGCAGCCTCTGGGAAGCGCAGACCTGATACCCGGGAGGGTGAGGGTTAGTGTTGTCGTCTCCGCCATTCTGACTCAGTAACCAGGCCCACTACGCAGCGTGACCTTGGGAAGGGAGAACAAAAGGTCTTTTCTCTGCGCACTGACCGGGCGGGGGTCTCAGCTTTCAGTTATGACCTGCAGAGTGCAAATCGGCAAGCCCGCCCCTGACTTTAAAGCCACCGCCGTGGTGGATGGCGCCTTTAAGGAGGTGAAGCTTTCGGACTACAAAGGTGAGGGCGGCCTGGAGGGGGCCCAGGTGAGGGCGGGGCCCACGTGTAAGAGGGGCTGGGTCCTATCTACTACTCCATCCCCCTCCTCCCCAGGGAAGTACGTGGTCCTCTTTTTCTATCCGCTGGACTTCACTTTTGTGTGCCCCACGGAGATCATCGCTTTCAGCGATCACGCCGAGGACTTCCACAAGCTGGGCTGCGAAGTGCTGGGGGTCTCTGTGGACTCTCAGTTCACCCACCTGGCTTGGTATGAGGAGGGACCAGGGAGGGAGGGAAGCAGGGAAGGAGCAGCTAAGTCCTCACCACAGGGTCTGAGCTGTGTGGCCTCGTTGCCAGCCACTGCTCCACCTCTGGGCCTCCCTCCCTCATCTTGAAAATAATGGAAATATTGACACCCAAGTCCCAACGATAATGACAGTAATTAGCATTTGGTAACTATGTTGCTTGGCGCATGGAGTTGCAGTTCCTTTATCTTACCTAGTTCTCAGGAGGGAGGCTGTGTCGCCCTGTTTCACAAAGGTAGAAACTCTAGTTCTTGGTCATGAAGGGCTGGGCCCCAGGACGCAGCTAGATGAGGATGGGGACTCTAACGCAGTCTCCTCCTGAGTGATGCTGGTGTTCACCAGCCCATGTGAAGCCACTTAGCGGGAGCATTAGCTCTCAAGATTAGCCTTCCCAGCTGCAGGGAAACAGCCCTTGCACCCACCCCAGGGTGGGGCTCCCAGAGCCCTACTAGAAAGTGCCTATCTCTTGCCTCCAGTCCTTATACTGAGGCCCACAGGGGGGAAACTCTGCTGTGCCAGGCATCTCTGAAGTCCCAACCCAGTCTCCCCCACCGCCAGGATCAACACCCCCCGGAAGGAGGGAGGCCTGGGCCCCCTGAACATCCCCCTGCTTGCTGATGTGTCTAGAAGCTTGTCTCATGACTATGGCGTGCTGAAAGAGGATGAAGGCATTGCCTACAGGTACTGTGGGGCCCCGGGCCCTGTGGCTGGCAGCGGGTGGTTGGAGGTCCCTTCCCTGGCTCCCAGCTCCTCATGCGAACACTGATATCATCAGGGGCCTCTTTATTATCGACGGCAAGGGTGTCCTTCGCCAGATCACTATTAACGATCTGCCTGTGGGACGCTCCGTGGATGAGGCTCTGCGGCTGGTCCAGGCCTTCCAATACACCGACGAGCACGGGGAAGGTGAGCAGATACACACGTTTACGAGCGTTCACACAGATACATACTCAGCCCCTCTGTTGCTTATGGGGACATTCACTGCCTGCCCTACTACCCGGGATGGATGTTAGGCCCCCAAGGAAGACTCAGCTCAGAGCCTTGTCTGCAGGAAGTTTCTGGTCTGGTGGAGGAGATATACCAACGCAAGGGTTGGGGAGCTGGAAGGTAACAGGAGATCCATAGAAAGTATCTGAGATGTCATGTCCCAAGTCAGGTTTGAATAATATTAGTTGAATCAGGATATGTTCTCATGTTGGGGAGACAGCCTAATCACACTCTGAGTCCAGCAGGGCTGGGATTGAGGGAGAAAGGTGGGATTGAAGGATCCAAAAAGAAATTGAAGGATGGTGGAGCACAGTGGCTCACACCTGTAGTCTCAGCACCTTGGGAGGCCAAGGTGGGAGGATCATTTGAGGCCAGGAGTTCAAATCCAGCCTGGACAATATAGGGAGACCCCATTTCTATGAAAAATAAGAAAAATTAGCTGGGTGTTGTGGTGTGAACCTGTAGTCCCAGCTACTCCGGAGGCTGAGGCAGGAGGATCGCTTAAGCCCAGGAGTTTGAGGTTGCAGTGAGCTATGATGACACCACTGCATAGTAGCCCAGGCAAAAAAGAGAGATCCTGTCTCAAAAAAAAAAAAATTGGAGGAATACTAGAGCTAGGCTTAGAAGCTTCTCTCAATATGCAAGTTCTTGGGCCTGGACCACTTGCTCCCAGTTTTCTCTTCTGCAACTCAGGCTCTTGTTTTCCCTCTGTTCATCCTCACACCTTGACTTTGGGGCTGTGTCTTCCCACAGTCTGTCCCGCTGGCTGGAAGCCTGGCAGCGACACGATCAAGCCCAACGTGGATGACAGCAAGGAGTACTTCTCCAAACACAACTAGGCTGGTAGATGGATAGTGGCCTTGTGCTCTCAGCCCCCATGTATGCCCCTGCCTGGGTGCCCTGTGCTGACCCAGGAAAGGCCAGACCTGCCCCTCCAAACTCCATAATCCCTGGAGGGCTAGGCCAAGGTCTTTTCATGCCCCCACCTGGGACTGGTGAATAGTGACTCCACCCAGCCTGGCAAAGACCTAGAGGTAACCAATAAAGTATTAGGGACAGATGTGAGTCTGTGTCTGCTTGCTCTGTCCTGGCATCTTCCCCCACTTCCAGCTCTGGCCTGGGAAACTGACCCTGTAGTTGCATATTGTCGCCACAAGGTGGCGGCCTTGCCCCATGCTCACTGCTTACTCTTTTCACGCCTGAGGGAGGTTTCCAAGGGAAGGGGTGCTGTTTGCCCCTTGCAGGGAGCAAGTCCCAGGATGCCCTACATCTTGAAGCCTGGCCGTGCAAGGCAGCGCCCACATCCTGCCATCAGCCAGCCTGGTTTCAAATGCCATTTACGAGCTGTGATCATCCATGGATCTCTGCAGCGATAAAATGGGAATAGACTACAAACCCATATCAGCATGCAAGTTAAAGGAGAATAAAGTATGTGAGATTCAGGGCCCAGGCCCTGTGTAGGGCCCCAGTTACTACGATGGCTCCCTGGGGCTGGAAGGAACCCAGCTGAGTCCAGTCTTACAGGGTAGAGAGTGGAAACCCAGCCCTAAGAGCGGGACCAAGACTGCGTCTGAGCTACGTGCACAGTCCCTGTTGTGAGCACTGCCCCACCCCAGGCTGGAAGGGCCGCCTGTCCGCCCCTCGGGTGGGAAGGTGAGGGTTAGGCTAGGAGGCAGGTGTCCAGAGCAAGACAGGGTTCCCAGGGATGCAGTTTGATACTGTATCTGTCCAGGCAAGTGGCTTTGCCACTCTGAATCCCATTTCCTTCCGCAGACAGGGCTCCTATGCTCATTTAATCCACAGAGCCCCTATTAATACTCCTACCCAGCCTAATACCCCTTAACCTCACTCATCTCCCTTGGAATTTAATGTATACTCCTCCCCGAGGCCCCCGCATGGTCTCTGATGACCTCATCCACTCTGTTGTGGTTCACTCCGTTTCCAGGCACACTGGCTTCTTGCTGTTCTTTCCCAGGTAGATCTTGTTCTGGCCACAGGAACCCTGCATGTGCCGTCCCTCCGGACAGAACGCTGTTTCTTAGGGCCCCGCTCCTTCAAGTCTGTTGAAAAGTCAGTGGCCTCCACTGCAGATGTACGCCCCGCTCCACTCTGCAAGGCAGCCCGCCCCCTTGCCCCATCACTACCACCTCCGCTTGTTTTTTCTCTCGCTGGCACTTACCACCACCTCCGGAGAATCACCTTTGTTGTTTAATGTCTGTCTGTGCTGGTCCAGGCTGTGTCTCCAGGGCCTGGTGGTTCAGTATTTTATAAATGAATTGATCAAGTGTCTTTTCTACCCACCGCCGTAGCCTGGCACTGCCTGTTTTTCTCAGCTGCTCTGGAGGCTTCCAGCTCCCAGGCCTGCCAGACCCCAAGGGGGGCGCCAGCAGCCCCCACCCACCCCCACTCCCACGCGTCCCAGCTTTGGGGGAGGGAGCGCGGCGCGAGGGCGGTGGCGGCGCCCAGCCCGGCGGCCCAAGCAGCTGCCCTAGCAGGACCAGACCTGGCAGTCGCCCCGCTTTCGGCCTGGCACCCGGGAGGGGAAACTTGGCAGGCGGGCGCCGCCCTTCCTGGCGGGGGTTGAGGGGACGGCGTCGTCGGCAACGACGCGGAGGCAGCAGCCACCCTCCTCCTGGGCCGGGTCAGACGGAGGGGGCGTGGGCGCGGCGGGGCCGAGGCGCCAGCCTGTTGGGGGAGGCACGGGGGTGGCTCCCGGGGCCCAGGAGCGCGGCCCGCCCACCTCGGGCGCTCTGGACGCAGGCCTGGGGCTTTCCGGGCCCGGGCAGCCACCCGCCCGGGAAAATCCCAACCCCCTTCCCGGCGCCGCGGCCCTGCCCGGCAGAGCGGGGGAGGGGATTCCCGGAATCTGCCCAGAGACCGCAGTCGCGTCACTGGGCAGAATCCGCCCATATATGGGCAGCGCTTCCGCTGCGTCAGCGGGGAAAGCCCCTGCGCGCGCGGCGGGGCGGGGACGCGCCTGCGCACTCGCGTCTCGCCCCGGGCAGGCTGCCCCCGGGTCACTGGGCGGCTGGACCAAGTCCCGCGCGGGGACTTTCCAACCCGGGAGACCAAGGGACACGGGGAGAGTTGGACTCCCTGGCTGGGACCACGAGATGCCTAGGCAGAGCTGGCGAGGGGGGGGACACGTACAGGAGGGAGCCACCAACAGCAGCGAGGTGGGGGTAGCCTGGGGCTCTCTTCCCTCCGCCCTCCCGGCTTGGAAAAAAAGACAACAGAAATTAATAAAGAACCATTTTTTTTTTTTACTTAAATAGATTCAATAAAAAGTCAGAACAACAAACGCACACACACACACAAACACATCTTAAAATAAACTCTTTAGAGACCAAGTGCGTGTTTCTTCTCCACAGTACGGTGCAGAGGGGGGAGGGCAGGGGGCGGGGGTCCCCTCCCCAATGTCCCCGCGGGCTTGAGTACCAGGGCGGCGGGGCCAGCTCCGCCGCGATCGCCCCCTCCTCCCCTCCCTGTTAAATACACAAATATATTATATTCAATATGAATCTAGTCTGTTTCCAGCAGAAAAAAAAAACATACAAAAATACGTGGGACGGGGGACTTGTAAACGTCGAGGTGGAAGGACTGGGCGCAGAGCGGGCGGGCCGGAGTCCAGTGTGGTTTGCGGCGCCCCCAGGCCCCGGGGCGGGTGCCCACCGCCTGCCCCCTCGCCCCCAGTGGGAGGCGTAAGCCCAGCCGTCCAGGCTGGGGGTGTCCGTAAGGGGGGGGGTAGGCGCTCAGAAGGCATGCCCCTTGACCCCGAGCAGCAGCTGGCAGCCGTTGCTGACGTGGGTCATGACCTTCTGTTTGAGCTGGGCCACCTGCTCCCGGAGGAGGCCGGCAGTACTCGACAGCCCGGCGTTCTCGGCCTTGAGTGTCTTCACCTTGTCCTCCAGGCGCGCGATGCGCTCCAGCTTCCGCTTCCGGCACTTAGTGGCCGCCAGCCGGTTCCGCAGCCGCTTGCGCTCCACTTTGATGCGCTCCTGGTCTTCCATGTTGATGGGGGACACGGGCGGCGTAGCGTCGCGACTGCGCGCCTCTGGCACGGTCTGCGGTTCCTCCTTGAAGGTGGAGGCGCTGCGGCCCAAGCCCAGCTGCGCCGGGTGGCCGCCGGCGAAGGGCGGCGCGTGCGGGAGGTAGCTGATGGTGGCCGTCGGGTATGAGCTCCCGGTCCCGACGGCAGCTCCGGCGCCTCCGGAGGACGCAGAGGCTGAGGAGTAGCTGCTGAGGTTGGTGTAGACGGGAGGCGGCTCCGGGCCAGCGTAGACGCTCCCGGGGCCGGCCGGGGGTCCCCCGCTGGCGCCCAGGGACACGTTGGGGGGTGTCACGTGGTTCATCTTGTGCAGGTCGTCCAGAGCTTTGACAAAGCCGTCAGCAAAGCCCTCCTGCTCCTCGGTGACGCCGCCCCCTGCGCCCCCTGCACCTCCGCCGCTGCCACCCCCGCGGGGGTAAAAGTACTGTCCCGGGGGTGTGGGCGTCGTCGTGATCACGCCGTTGCTGTTGGGGACGATCAGGCGCTCCAGCTCCGATGAGGCGAGCTTGAGAGACGCGCCGGTGTCCGAGCCCTGACCGGAAAAGTAGCTGCCGCCACCGCTGCCCTCCGGGCCGGGGCCCCGCGCCCCGGGCGCCTTGAGACTCCGGTAGGGGTCGGCTAGGTTGAGCGCCAGGCTCGGTTTCAGGAGTTTGTAGTCGTGTAGAGAGAGGCCGCCAGGGGCCCGGCCGTATCCCGCCGCTGGGTATGAGTCGTCGTGGTAGAAGGGCTGTTCCATTTTAGTGCACATCCGGGCGGCCCAGGCGGTCTGGGGAGGGTCCCTGCGAGGCCGCCCCGGGCCTCGCTGCGGCGAGCGGCGCGCTGTCCGCGGCTGTGGCGGGACTGGGTGTCTGGTCGCGCGTTCCCGGGGCCTGGCACCGGCTGGGAGCAGCCAGCCGGCAGCTGTGCGCGAAAGATGTGTCCGGCTTCCTGAGCCCCTTTCGCCCTCTCTGGCGCGCTCGCTTTCTCGGCGTCGCTCCCCGTGCTCCCCACTCCCAGCTGGCTCCGATGCTGGCCCGGCCGCCCTCAAGGTCCCTGCAGCTCAGCCCGAGCCACACGCCTTTATACGGCGCTTGTCAGCTGCGGAAGTGCGCTCCGATTGGCCGTCGCTGGAGCCGGGCCCCCGCGCCCCCCTCCTAGAGCGTGGGGAAGGGGAGGAGGCGGCTCGCGTCACTGTCAGGAAGCGCGTGTCCTTGTAAACAGCGGCCACGGGCCCAGTAGCTCGGCAGGGCTGCAGGGGGAGGGGCACCAGAGACCCCGGGGTACGCGTGGAAGGAGGTTCTGGAGGTCCCGAGGCACAAGAGTTAGGGGTTTCCGGGAGGGTGATGAGTCCCCTAGAGTACACTAGGATGGATTCCAGGACCTAGTACAGAGCAAGAGAGGAAATGATCCCAGGGTGTCCACGGAAGGGCCTGAGGACCCTGAGTATGCGAGAGGCGTAGACGGACTGACAATACACTGGAAGACCCCAAAAAGCAGGAAATAGATTTTTAAGCAGGGTAAACAGGAAGGGGGTAAGGAGACACCTGACCCAGGAATTGACTGGGGGTCCCAGGCACACGGGGGTTGAGAGACCAGAATTTTCAAAGGAGGGAGGAGGAGAGAGATCAAAAGGGTTCAGGGGGCGGGGCTACAGGACCCATTATGCAAGAAATAAACAGGGTGCCAGAGTCCATGGGAGAGTCTGAGCATTCCCCCATAAGTGGGAAGAAGAAATTGGGGAGATCTAGATGTGCAGAAAGTACGTGTTCTGGGGTGCACTGATCACACTAAATATGTGTGGTAGAAGATGGGGACATCTGTTAGAGATTGGGGATCACTAGGGTCATCTGCGAAGCCCGGATGAAGGAGAGTTAGAAGGGTCAGAACACACCTTCAGAACTGAGGACAATGACAGGAGGGTACCCAGTTGAGACATGTGAGGAGGGGGCTTTGAAGACCCCGGGGACCCGGGACTACTGTATCTTCCGTGACTAGAGCTCACCCTCGCGAATGACTCCCTAGGCACCTGTATACT